GCACTTGGATGACAGTTGAGAAACAAGCAGAAGAATTTTGGATAAAATTAAATGTGCTTGAAATCAAGGCATTGAAAAGATCCTGACATGTACATTGATTCAGGAAGTTGGGGAGGACCATATTTGCATGGCAGTGAAAGGTTAATATCCCTTTTTATTCTCAGTGGAATTTTATTACATGACTATTTCAAGGATAAACATAAACTTAATTATTTTTACCCCTGTTTCAAAGGTTCAGCTGAAGAAAAATCTGATATTATCCTTCTCTTGCTATTTAAGTAGGTCTTACTCCAGGGGGCCAGAAGTGTGCAAATGTGGCATTCAGCCAAATAAATGTTGCAATGTACAAAATATTATTCATCATTTCTAATAATCGATGCAGATCTGATTATAAATGTAATTTTCCAGCACAGCTCCAAAATAACAGCAGCCGGTGAAACCCAAGATGACCCTTAATTGGAATATATTTCAATAATGATGCAATAATTGACAATGTAATTTCCTGTCAATTTATGGAAAACTATTTCTCACTAAACTTTCAATAGCTGTTGTTGCTACCCAAATGTACTGATTGGTAATTCAACCTGACAGGGAAGTCTGGTTTGAAACTGAATAAAAACACTTAAGAAATTAACAGCAATTATTGCAAAAACACACAAAATTAAAACTTCAAGCCTATAGCATCAATCAGGCAATTATCAACCAATCAGACTAAGACATTGCCTGAACCTCTTAACTAAATTAGTGTTTCCAGTCATTCCCAAGCATCCATTTGCCTATTTATAAACTATCTAAATCCCATCATTATGCTCCAGACTGTAGCTGATTTCCGGGATCTATCCATTGACTCCTTATCTGTGGATTATAGGTTTGTGACTTTAATAATGTATAATTGCAGTATCCATTCAGTCAAACCCATTCCAGATTCCAAAGACCATTGCCCTTTCAATTATTTCTTCAGCCAATAATCTCCCATTGCCAGTCATCAATCTGATTCCAAAAGCACATATCTGGTGTAATTTCTCATTTCTGTGACCAAATCAGTAATAGTATATCAAAATAACATTTCATGTAATTTTAAAATTGTGCAGGTAATCACCACAATAGCTCCCCATTCCCACCTCTTCTGCAACTGAAGGCAAAATACTGCAAAGGCTGGAAATCTGAAATTAAAACAGAAAACGCTTGAGAAACTCAGCATCTGTGGAGAGAGAAACAATTAATATTTTGAGTGCAATATGACTCCTTTTCAGAACAGTTCAGAATGTTAATCCTGTTTCTCACTCCACAGCTGTTGCCAGACCTGCTGAGTTTCTCCAGCACATACTTTTCTTATACTCTTCAACTGACATGGTTCTGCTCAATGATTTCAGATCTTATCGCTACCGCCTTCAGTTCCAGACTTGCTTCCTGACATTCTCCATAGCTCCAAATCCTGCAATAGACCCCAGCTCCTATGGCTGCTTAACAGACCTTGATATCAATGCCTACTCAGACTTTCTACTTTCTAGCTCCAAATCTCATTCTGACCACTTCTGTGACCATTCTTTGAACTTAGAAGCAGTTGGAGTAGATTCTGTCAGGGAGTTGTAGCAAAGTCTGGGATATTGTGAGTTATGTGCAAATACATAGAACACAATACCTACCAAATGGTTCGCAATGATATGAAATACAACTTAAAGGTGAACTGAATGAAGCTTTCAAGGTGATGACGAGAATAGGGAACGATAATCCAGGAAAAAGGCACCTGTACTAGGGTCATAACTTAACAATGAATTATTGAGGAAGGATTTCTTTTACATCTAACAGTTGATCTAAAGATAAACTATCAAAAAAGATGGGTTCAACATTTTGTTATTTCACAGGGGTGCTGTCTGTTGAGAGGTGAAGAGGGTAATCTGACAGCTTCCTTAATGTCCAATATCTCCTTTCTCATCATATTCATCGATACTTTCAAACTAAAAGCCATCTCACTGACTCTTGAACCAATTCACCCTGCTCGCCTTGTCTCCTTTAGCCATCTGAATACCTACTTTTAACTTTAATTCCTGAAACATGTTCTCAGCCATGCTGAAAAATGTGCCAAGATCAATTTTATCAATCCCTTTCATAAAATTGAAAATTATCAAAACAAACCATAGTCTTTCTTTTCTAAAGAGAACAAGCCCAACATGTTTAAACTTTGCTTGATAACTTATGAATCCTAATACCTGGAATGTTCTTGATCACTCGAGACTGTACCCCTTGGGAGTTAGAGTAACCTTCTTGTTAGCTCATCTCCCCAGCCTACATACAGAAATGTTCTAAGTGACTGACATTGTGAATTCAGTATTGTGGAGGAAACCAAACCCAAGTTCAATTATACAGTGCATGCTGCCACATTTTGATGCTTCAAACAGTTTAAAATATTTGCCTCCTTTATTTTCTATTTCCACAGACCTTCTAATTCGAGGACCAATTGCTAGAATGTGACACCAATATGGTCTGTAGCTAATTACTTGGAAATGCAAAAGAACAAGTAGGGCTCACTGATTTTCCTTATTTTGTTGGTCTGCCTATGGTAAAGTCTCTGCTCAAAATCTACAGCAGGAGACATGATAACCATCAGCAACTCAGTGTGCACATCTGTAGAAATTATAATGTTTTTTCCTGTTTTTGAAAGTAATCTTTGGTACTTTTTTGCTACATTTGGATCTTATTGTGAGGCTGGCCTGCTTAAGGTTATACATTAATATCTCCTTTGAAATATAACATTCAGACAGTACATCGCAGTCCAATTTTCTTTTCTCATGGGAGAATTTGCATCTTACTTTTCCTGACTGCTAGTTGTGCTGCCCAGACATAAAAATGAGCAAAGCTGGAGAACTGAACCTCATGAGACTATGTGCTAGTATTCCAATACACTGCATTATAATGCCACCCATCCCCATCTCCCAGATTTATTGGCACAGTAACCTTATTTCAAGTTTTCCGTAGTTTACTCTTACTTTTTGGCCACCATTTTGTCACCAAATGAATTTTCAACAGGAGTTAGGAAAAGTGCCCATCAATAATCTAAATCTATCACCTAATCACACAGCATGGCTGAAACTCAATATGCGTAAAGTACCGATCCTCCTGATATTGGGCCATGATATCAAACAGTCCTATTGACAGCCAGGATATTTGCATGAGATTTCGCTCAGCAAGGTCAATTTCCAACTGTTCATCTACATAACATATTGCCATTTGGCCTACAAATCTGACTTCCTATTGTGTAATCCTGTACTTTACAGGATATAGAATCAACACCTGCTTACCCTGTAGGATGTCAAAACAAGTTCAGGATAATGTCTTTAATGCTATCTTATTTTCATAGTCAAGAAGTCCAAAATCACAACTTGCAGATTTGAGAAGGTAACAGAGATATATTAAACATGAGTGAGCCGAAAATCCTTCCAATGTAGGCTTAATTTTATAACCCACCTTAATGCACAATAATATGATAACAAAGCAATAAACAAACACATGGGAAGTGGTATGATATAAATTGAGTACTGTTTTGCACACTTCACCTTCAGAATAGCAGATGGCTGAGAGTGCATTGCGAGGCTGTTGCATAGAGGACTCAGTGATGTTTCTAGCATACAAGAGTGATACCCCAGCTGTTTGTCAACCTCATACAAACCCTAGAATTGTAACAGGCCTATCAACATATCTGTAGATTTTTTAAACCTTACTTTCTATGAGAAAGACAAGTTTCATGTTCACATTTTGGGGAAAGCTTCATATCTTGAGTTGCCAGGAGCATTACTACCCTTAACTTACGGGTGACATTATGCCACTTAGTCTTGCTCCATGTCGTATCTTATGACATAAGTCTCTTTTATCACATACCCTTTTATTGGAGCTTAATTAATACCAAAACCATTATCAAACAGAAAGATTTCTGGAAAGCATGTATTTCCAGTGTTCTTAGCATTGAATTAAAACATTCTTTGATCACAGATGGAAAAGGTATTCTACTGAAAACCAATGTATTCTTTTACTGAATTCTAGAGCCCATCTCTATTATCCATGCATGTTATATTTCTATTTCACACAGATAACATCACAAGTCAAAGTAGTTGGCACTGTGAAGAAAAAAAGTTTTATAGCAAAATGATCAGAACCAGCTCACAATCTGTGCATTTATTTAGATCAGAAATGTACACTTTTTGTTGTTCAATTACTGGCTTTAACTTGAACCTAACTCATGATGCTGACAGTTTTGTGGCTTGTGAATGATCAGGCGTGCACAGTGATGGCATTCAAACCATTTCCTCTCATCATGCATACTTTTTGGAACATATTACCTATAGCACTATGAGAAAACTTGCCAAAAATGCTAGTCTGACTGTTCAATACACTGTTATGGTAAGGGGATGAATATCATAAAACATATGCCAAGAATAACCTTCAATAAAGACCTTCCATGCAGCTTGCTTGTCATCTGATAAATGATCCTCTAATCAGTTCCAACTTTTCCTGTCTATCTCTTCATCTTCCCCTGCAGACCAAGACAATTGCTCTCTTGTATTTACCTCTCTTTTCCTCTCAGTCCTAAACATAGCATTCTGTAGCCTCAACCAACCCTACATCCTTCTGTTGAAATAACGACTGGACCCACAGTCTACCCCCTCCTATGGGCTGACTGTTGCTTCCAGGTACAGTCTTCAAACTCTCCCTGCCCCCCAGACTGCATCCTCCCCAAATCACACCTTTTTAAAAAATAAATTGCCACCCATCCATTGTCCCCTTGACTCTTTCCAACCATGGGGATATATGGCACTGGGTACTTCAACTGAAAGGGTTCCCACTTTGTTTTGTGTTGACGTACTGTGCACTGATCAACACAGCAAGATAGAAAAGCCCAGAAGACTTATCACCTTTAACTACATGGCGTTCAGCGTGTGCAATTCTAACCCGAAGCTTTGATCATGGATTTAGAATGGCCAAGTGGGAATTTAGATTAATCTTACCATACAGACGCTCGAGCAAGATTTGACTGAATACCCCGATTCCAAGTACTTGTGTAGCATTGCTTCGAACTCCTCGTATTTTTCCTGAGCATGTTGGTCTTCCATCTGATAAGCCTTGATGCATTCACTGCAGATAGACATAGCCCCTCCATCATCACTGATCCGCATATCCAAACTGCAGTTTAACCCATTCGGGTTAACATAATCCCGCAAAAGATCGGCAATGGTGTAAGAATGGCAGAAGGACAGCCTAAGATGACTGAAGTAAGACCACAGACAGGCGGAATCCAGACCTTTGGGAATTAATCGACAGGCTCTGTCCAACTCCTCACCGGGGTCAGTCAAATTGGTCAGAGACAGATCACATTGAGCCTGCCGTTGACTCTGATCGTTTGGTGTCGCCAAGTTCTGACTCGTAGCGGGGTCACTCCAGATCCTGCCCGCTGTTTCCCCGCTCCTCAATTTCGTTCCAGCGCAAGAGCAAAAATAATCAGACAAGAGGACAGCGAAAAGGAACAGAGACGCTAAAGACATTTGCCATTTCTCTGCCCTCTGTGAATCGACGCAGGGTTTCTCGTTTGCTGTGGGTGCAAAACAGATTTTCAGGACGGCATTACACATCCAAGCACCCCTGATCATATTTTGGAGGGGAGGGAAAGAGTGGGGGGAGAAAGGGCGGCTTTCCAATTTCCCCTAGTTCCCAATGTCACTTTAGCAGCCTGACTGTGTGCAGAGTTGCTAACGAGGGGTGTAAGTGCCCCCCCATCACCGGCTGGTCAAAATATAATCCATGGCATTTTGCAGGAGATTGCATCCTCCGTCTGAACAAAACAGAAAGGGGAGATTTGTTTTTATTTTGGTTGACTTTAAAATGAAATAAATAAACAAACAAGCCCAGACAGCATCCATCCCTCCCCCCTACATACCATCCGCCCCCCCTCCTCCTCCAACCTTTCCGATGTTGTAGGCTACCTGATTAAAATTAAAATAAAAACCAGCGCGCACCCACTATTGGTGACAGAAGGTGCACGGATCCTTTAGGAATAAATAGCCTTCATCGGTGGGTTTTTTTCCTGCTCTCCTCCGCCGGTGTCCTTGTCCGTTTCCTGGGTCTCATTTTCGTTCCTGGACCCCTGTTGCCTCTTCCCTTTTCCCCATCCCTCTCTCTCTTTCTCTCTCTCTCTCCCTCTCTCTTTTTCCCTCCCCACCACCACCACTCCCCCTCAACCTTCCAACCTCAAATTGTCGCCATCTTCAACGCGATGAGTACACCTTGAGATGTTTGGGGCAGGTCCAGGCGCCTGCGCTCTCCTCCGGCTTAGGGGGAAATTGACAGGGCCATTCAGAGAGACTGAAATTGACTGAGCCATTCACTCGTACTGATCACACACACACACACACACACACAGAGCAGGCAGACAGCGACTCAGCATCACAAACCGCATACCCACTTGTAATCTGCCATTCTCCTTACCCCCCCCCCCCC